CAAGTAATCTCAGGTTTCCTTCGTATTTAATGGGTATATATGTTTTTTGTCCGACTGAAAAAGGGCACTGCCTCACACTCTCTCATAAGCCGGTTCCCCCCCCCCCTTTCTTTTAAAAAAAGAAGTAAATTTTTCAATCAGAAAAAATGTATACTGATGCGGTATCTTTCAAAGCTGGACATTTTCATTGAGTTTTTCATATACGGTGGCCCACTAGTGCCACTGCTGCACACTGTAAAACAAACACCTTCCTGAATAAAAACTTGCTCCCTCTGTGAAATTGTTCTTATTGTTCTTGTTCATCACTTGAAACCTTCAACTGCCCTGTATTTTTGTCACGGCGTTTTCACAGACAAGTCTACTTTTAGTTTGAATTTACCACGAACTAAGACTCCACACGAGAGAACATCGACCAATCAAGATTAGCGCCTGGTTAATTTCTAACTTTACTCGTTAATATATCGAAAGAAAAACAGCAGAGAGGTGCAAGGCTTCTTGCGATAGTTCGAGTGCAAAGGCGTCCCAAGCTCGTTCCTTGAAAGTGTCACATGTTGTGTGACTCGGTGTTAACTTATGGAAGGAACCGTTGAGAATTGGAATGTGTTATAAGGAATAGCATGGGGAACGAAATATGGTCGATTTACAACGATAAATATTTCGAAATATGAACATTTTATACGTTAAATCAATAGAATTTATTGTGCACCCGTTTACATTTTTATACATTTAATTAAATTAATACTGTAACAATAAAGCAACGATTCAAGGCCTCAACAACACACTACTGACAAAATAATATTCATTGACCGCTGTACTTCCCATGAGGGCTTTTCAGGGACAACACCCAAACCAAGCTACACTGAAATGTAATACCTGAAATATGTGGTGTTAATGCCTCTTGCTTGGAGCAGGCTAATTGGCCTACTCGATCATCGTTCATCAGGCTTTATATAAAATATGCAGGAACATTTCAAACAAAGCCAAAAAAAAGATACGATCACTAACCTGCCTGCAATTTCGTGCCACATTTGGGGCAATAATTCGGCGTGGAATACTAGCCCAGATTTTCGCCACAGGAGCTGCAAAAGTTCGTCATTATTAAATATGGCGGGAAAGGTAGCAGCTATCAGAGAGAAGCCTGGGTGCTAGGTACCAGTTCTTTGATTTATCTACGATCTTCATTTCTATGGAGGAGGCTGATTTCTACGAGGAAGGCTGCTTTCGAGGAAGGCTGCTTTCTACGGAGGAAGCTGATTTCTACGGAGAAAGCCCTTTTCTAAGGAGAAGGCTCATTTTTAAGGAGAACGCTGATTTCTACGGAGAAGGCCCATTTCTAAGGAGAAGGCTCATTTTTAAGGAGAAGGCTGATTTCTACGGAGAGGGCTCATTTCTTCAGAGGAGGGCAATTTCCGTGTAAAAGGCTTACACTTGCATGGAAAATAAGAACAATTTCACAGAGGAAGCAAGTCTTTATTCAGGAAGGTGTTTGTTTTACAGTGTGAAGCAGTGACACTTGTGGGCCACCATAGTAGTGAGTATATAGGCAAGTTCTTCACAGTTTACTTAGAAGAGATTGAAGAGAAAGAAGAGTAGACTAGAAGAGGGTAGACAGTGTGCGAAAGAGTAGAGTCAGAAATCTGCGGTCGAAGAAGAAGTTCTCGGTGAGAATTAAAGTTTGAGAGACTTGGAGATTAACCAGAGTTACGAAGAATAAAAAAAGCTCGGGTGTAAGAAGAATTATGTACTGGAGAACCGATTAATTAAATAAAAAAGTGAAAAATACAGTTCGAGAGTCTTTGTGTTTTTCTCCAAGTGAGGTATGCTCGATGGGTAGTTCCCTACGACATTTCGTCGTTACAAAAATTACAACTTTGATGATACACTTGATTTGTTGCTGCTTGCTACTGTATGATACTAGTTAAATAATTTTTTAACATAATTCTTTTGAGCATTAGCTATCGTGTATTGGTCTATACTAAAACAATGGATAGCGCTGCAGGTGCGCTCTGATTGGCAACTCAAACTAGCCACCGACAGTGAGGTGACTAGCCGTTAGATAGGATTAACTTGGAAAGGAAGTTTGAGTTTTTAACTTAAAAGTGATTCTGTCATTTTATTGACAGTAGCCAGGAGAATAGCGCAAAGTATATGTCAATGTAAATACGAACATGGTTCTTCATTATCTGAACATGCTCTAGGTCTCCGCTTAAATAAGCAGCAATGCACAGGGATACAAGGGCGCACAATACTCGAACACCGGCCTAATGCAGGTAATATGGAAGCACATGATATGATGAGTCGGAATATTTACTCGCTTCAGCATTATCAAGAAATGCGTGAGCTTATTGGCCCTTTTGATTACATCAGAGACGTGACAATTTCATTTAAAGGTATTAGACATGGTTACCCCTAATATTTGGTTTGGGCAACAAGTTCAAGTTCCTTGGAGTTGACGGTTACAACGTCGAACAGGTGTTGGTTCTCTTGAAGTCAATAATCAATTCTTTGCACTTCTCTGAGTTCAACTGAAGATGTTGTAAGCAGACCACTGCTCTAACGCTTTTACAGCGCTTTGGATTGCACTTCTACTACCCTTAGAATGATCAAAGCATGCTAGTATATCTATTGCACTAGACTCTAGTGCAATAGATATACTTGTGTGATCAGTGCTGAAGTTTACCCCTTTTGAACCAAATTACAAGGAAAAGGAAGTCCATTGACCCACAGGCTGAAACAAATTCCGAGCCCAGAAGTGCATTTTTCGTACTGTCGCACTGAGATGTCTCAGTTAAAAATTCTCAAGAAAACGGTTCAAACAAAAACAAACCAAAAAAAAAAATTATCGAATCTAATAGAGGCAGAGATAACAGGGCATCTTCGTAGGTGGGAGGGAGGGATGGTACGGTATACCTTTTTTGTCCTGTTTATTTTTCAATATTGACTCGAGTCATTTATTAGAGTCACGAATGTAATAAAACATATAAGGTATTAGTATATACCACACAGGTGACATGTACTTTTTGCGTGCGCTGATTGAAGTGATTAGCAAATAGTACTCACCTCCTGGCAGCCAAAGTGACAAAATTGTGCGTTAGCAATTTAATTTCCAACACTTTTTTTTATAAATGAATAAAGGGGTAAGTTTCTAAAGAAACTGTGGTGCTGCGTCGGTGGGAGAGTATAGCAGGTAATTTAGTGTTAACAACTGGGTTGAAAACGTTAATTAGCCACCGTAAAGGGTAAAAAAGCTGACGTTTTGAGCGTTAGCCCTTCGTCAGAGCGATTGACGAAGGACTTAACGTCAGCTTTTTTACTCAACCTAGTTGTTAACACTAAATTACCTTTCTTGATATATTGACCGAAATATGTTTTTTGTTTTCTGTTTTGTGTATACCAAAACAATTAAAAGTCGTGAATATTTACCTCACCGCTCTGCAGCCAGGGAAATATCCACCACTATTCACCCCCATTTCAATGAATAACTGTTAAATATCGGTCTAACGCTTGTCAGATTGAATTAATAAAGTACGTACAATCTATTGGTATTGAGCTTTCCTTTTTAATTTCAATATGGTTATCCCTAAGGAATTTGTAGATACCTAGTTTCACCACCATTGTTGCCTTAAGGCACATTCTGTAATCTCCTATCAGACCACTTCCCGGAAAAACCATCCTCCTCGAGGGGAGGGAGAGGGGGTAGAATTATTCGAGCGCTTACAGCATTTTACATTTTAGAAGATTTTCGATAAAATGTTGTTCTTTTTGTTTGTCAGATTAATGTTTCTTTAATAATGTGTTGGTGACTCACATCATGTCGATTATATTTCTAAAAATTCAAAACTGGCTGAAAGCACAATTGCTGCACAGATGTTAGAGAATGTGTACCCATAGTAACTTGGAATGAATGGACAGGGCTGTCGTAATATTCATCCTAAGATTATGATGTGGAAAAGCTGTTTGCAGACGGCTTTCTGTATATGAGTTCATTGATATTTAAATTCCACTGGATCTGAATCGAAGAGAGGGAGAAGCGAAAATGCATTTCAGGTATTTATTTATTTCTTATATTTAAAATGTCGATACGAGAAGAAACACAATAATAGACACAATAAACCGAGTGAAGGCCGGATCTTTAAATTCTAAAGGACAAACGATTATTTTCATTTTCAGTTATGAATTACTAAACATATACTTTTTATTTCAAGGGCTGGTAAATAAATTCATAGTTACTCAGATCTGCCATCAAGTCCTGCGCTTAAGCCTTAGAAAAGGGAGGATAGGTTATTGATATTTTTGCATACCTCTTTTTAATTATCATTTAGACTTTCTTCCCTGGGATAATAACAATAACGCGTTTATTATTGGCGCCTTCACAGAAGCGGAAATACAGGTAAGAATAAACGAACCATCTGCGGAATCATATCATTGGAGAAAATGTAACTGTAAAGGCAGGCGAGGGGTAAATTTTAAAAGAATCCCTTTATAACCTCGCCTTTCTGGTGTTAGGACATTTTTAAATTGTAGCAGATTGTTCTTTTTATCTAGTGCGCTAAAATGTGATTCAGGAAGTTCTCCTTAAAGCCTCAGTTAAGCGCAGCGGTGTCTTGAAAAAATAATATGCTCTTTGTGATACAGCTGCATCTTGTCGTTTTCCAATACTTTGTGAGGTAAACAGCCACGGTATCTGTGATCTATAATGAGATTCCACTAACATACAAGGCACTTAACCTGCAAAAAAAATGCGTTATTTAATCAAATTCTTAACCCAAACATAACATTCAAACTTCTCCTGTGTCCAACAGCTGAAAACAAGAAAATGGCGTCCAGAATGACCCTCTGGGGCTTCAGTGTTGCTTTCTGTAAGCACTATTGTCTTTAATAAGAATATAAAATTTAGAGACTAAATGTCTTATTTCCAAAGGATTAGAAGTCGCTACTTTTTGGTTTTTGGTCACACGAGAATACTGCTCATGTCACGAAAATATTCAGGCTTGCATAAGATGCACTCGCAAGATGGTGAGTGACACGTGCACGGAGAAGAAATGCGGCGTAGAGCCTTTGCTAGAGGGAATTACGAAAGAAAAGTTACCGATCTCTGGCAAATTTTGAGACAACACAGCATCCAAGTTGATTTCCGCCTCTTTATCGAGTCCGATTTTCGCTCCTCTCCGAGAAAAGACAACTTAACACGTGACCTACAGACCACGTCTGTGACATAGTTATATAATTATAATTCAGCGCAAATGATATTATAATTATTAATGTCATTATATATTAATATTATTATTCAGCGCAAATAATCAACAAAACAAAGAATCATCGATTGTATTAGCTCAAAGTTCACCTACTAACTTTTACTGAAAAATTATCATCCCTTAAATCGTAAAAAAAAAACCAGCCTCATTCATTCAGAAACAAATCCTTTTATTTGTTGTTCGGCATCAAACGCGCGCCCGTGCAATTGTGTCATTTACTTTCGATATGGAAACAATGCGTCTGTCAAAAAGGCGTTTAATTAAAATTTTCATCTGTGAAATGCTAATTGCAAACCAAAACACGGTAGGAGAAGATCAAATGCGTATCCTGCGGAATGCAGTACCTAAATAACGATATACAAGTGCTTAAGACGAGGCTGAATTTGTTGTGCAGTTGTGTTGTTCCACTTAGCGAGCGAAAGCTTCACGCCATTTAATGTTATCTTTAAATAGCTTTGGTGAAATTGACTTCTCTCAAGATAAGGGCGAGGAGGCTTCCGCTTTATCCTCTCGTTTTCTCTTGATTCTGCAGTTGCACTAATAGCGGAAGTACGCCTTCAGAGAGTTGTTCCATCGTTCCGCTCAAGTAAACTTTTGCAGGCTCCAAAGGGACATTATGTGGAATTGAACTTCAGCTTGGAGACTTCACATGCAACACCATGCATTGATGATATGTATCTTGAGGTTCGTGATGGATACAACAAGTCTGCCAATCTTCTTGGTGTATTTTGTGGAAGGGACATTTCTGGTATTGTGCGATCCAGTGGACAGAGCTTGTGGTTGGGAAAAACACATAAATTCAATTACCATTTCAGATGTTCATACAGTAACAAAACAATCAATACAACAGGCAAGTCTTCAGTGACTCACTGAAATTAGCCACCAAAAAGCATATTAGATGTATTGTAAGTTTAAAAGTTCTCATGAAATGGCCATTACCCACGTTCCTTATACTCGACTGCTTTTGTAATTGCTATGTATTTTTTCCTCTTCCAGTCCAACCCAACCTGGATAAAGTGGCCAAAATTCAGTCCGTTCTTTCAAACCATCTCTCATCCCTCTGGTGCCCAGCACAAGGCGCACCGGCACCAGTCATTGTTTGGAGAAAGAACGGCATTGTGGTACAGAACAGTACAAGTGTCAAATATCAGCTGACCATTACTGAAGAAAACAACTACAGCTGCGAGGTGAAGAGGCAGGATGGTTTTGACAAGAAAGAAATCAGTCTTGTTATGGAAAGTGAGTTTTGGTAACAAAATTTGTTCCTAAGTTGATCAGGCCCAAGGGGAAAACCTATCGCAAATTTGCAAATTTTGAATCCCCAGCTGGTAAAATGCGCAAATCCCAAAGCTTTTACCTTCTTTCTTCGCAACTGAATGGCGGACACTAAAGGTTTATTGACCTTACAACATTTTTCGTTCCTTACCCTGGAATAGTATTAGGTTTGCACAAGCAAACCAGAGACAACGAAAAGCTCCACTGACTTTCAGTAAACAGCATGATAATGAAAACGTATCCTCTTGTTAAATTCTAGGGTGCCCTGATCCCTGCAGATGTGAAACTGCGGTTGGAATCATGCGTGCAGTTACCCGCATTGAATGTAGGGGAAAACATTTACAGTCAGTTCCACGACACTTGCCCCTCTCGACAGCGAAATTGTAAGAGTGTTATCTCTTTCTTTCTTTTGTTTTTCGGCTGGTAGTGAGAAGGAGGGAGCATGAGACATACATTAAATTTGGTCTATGAGGTTCAGAGGAAAAAAGAGAAACAAAGAGAGGCTTTTAGCAACCTTTGTAACTAGTAAACATTTTCAGATTAAAGGCTCTCTTTTAACGTTAACGAAAGACTCTCTGTTAACGTTGACAATGACGTTTTGAAGGCAACCTGATTGGATGACAACGATCGTAATTTTGTCAAAAGCTGCTGGTATTCTGTATATGAGTTGTTCACAACTTAAGCATAGTTAGTGAACTGAACCGAACGGCGACAAGATGTTACCATAAAATATGAAGTGACATGTGAACACAACATGATTCTTGCAGTTTGTAACATCAATTCGAAGAGTCGAATTGTCGTTTCTTGTTCATAACATTGGACTGTTAAACGGCTCTTCACTCGACTCTGATGATAACTGCTGCTCACGTTATAGAGAGCGAAGAAAGTTGCTTTCATATTTTCTCAAAGTAGGCGAGATTAAAATTTTTCCTGAATTCTTACCTTGTTTTTCATACACACACACTCATCGAGTCTTGGAAAATTGGGTTGTGTCTAATTTTACGATTATAACGATTTTATTACATTCAATGTCCCCGAGGAGTGAAGTTAACACCAAATGTCTGTATATACTAATATTGTGGCTAAAGTTATACTTTCCCTGGGTATAAAGATAACAGAAAGTAAGAATAGACAAGACGGATAATGTTCAACCTTGCTTAATCTAGGATATATTCTCCTTCTAGGAACCTGAAATACAACCAAATAAAGGAACTACCACCTGAAGTCTTCCAAAACAACACCGAGTTGGCCGTTCTGTAAGTGACCAATGTTTATGCTTGTGTTAATATTGATGTTCGATGTATTAAGAATTGCCGAATGTCTCATGCTCAGTGGGTGTAGTCAATCACGTAAGTAATCAGTCAATGTGAAACGTTTTATCATTTTGCTCTCTGAGAGCGAAAACTTCTTCAAATTAAGAGGCCGTCGTCATCTTTAAAAAAGCATTTAAAAAAATTCCTACTTAAAATCCATGACTTATCCTTTTGCAGGATCTTAGGAGGAAACCAGATAGAGGGGCTACAATTGGGAGTCTTTAGTAACAACAAGAAGTTGACCCACTTGTAAGAAGGCAGTTTATAAAATTATGGTCAATTTTTGTATCTTTACTGTCATTATCTTGACCGTTCTCGTAGTTAATTCTAATATACTCAAATATTGTTGAACGACAACAATGAGTATTGCCGTCAGGGTCTACTACGAAGTTGCGTGATGATTTAGCTTTTGAGTTATTCAAGCTACATTCGGTGCGAGTGAGGAACATTACTTCTAAGTTCACCCTCGCGAGAACCAAAACAGATATTTATTAGCGACTGTTTAGGAAGACTCCATCAAGCTCATATCAGAACTCTCTAATAGAAACTCACTATTGTTATATGTGTCCTCTATTCGCTCCGACTCAGTCCGTTCTTGAAATTTGAGCGAACTTTGTTTCAACCTACTGGCTGTGGTGAGCAGGTAGGTGAGGGTAAGATGGTCGAAAAATCTGGTAAAGAACAAGCTGGAGTAAAAGATCATATAGGTTATCCTGGCACACCATCGTGATGTTCCCAGAATCCAGTTATCTGCTGAATGCTTGCGAAAACGTCTTCACTCTTCACTCAAACAAACACTCCCCTCCACAGGTCTCTGTCCCTTATCCCTACCAGCCAAGTAATGAGTGGTCCTGAAATGTTGTATTAAACTATTCAAAAGTCTGCAAAGAGTTTCACCGGAATAATAGGAAGTAGAATAAGCTAACTGGAGCTCTGTTTTAAGGCTTTTAGTGCTCCGAATAGAGAGGCTCACGCATCAGCGATTGTGGTAGGAAGCTCATCAAAGGACTTATTGAAATTATTCAAGTGTATAGTGATGGTGGTGTCAACAACTGAGTCTTACATCTTACATTTTTCGATGCCACACAAAATCTAAATGTGTATACAACAAAAATGTAATCAAGAGCAACGCAAAACGTTAAACTCACTAGCCTATATATATTTATTTGACCCAGAAACGGTACAAGTAAACTGTATTTCGACCGAAAAAAGTGCACAATAGCAGCAACACACAAGAGGTGATATAATTTTAACAAAAATCATGGAATATCTTTTCTTAGGGACTTGAATAACAACTGGATAAATGAGCTACCACCTGGAGTCTTCAATAATAACATTGAGTTGATCGAACTGTGAGTAACAGATATCCACACCATATCTCTTTCTTTCTTTTTATTTTCGGTTGGCAGGGAGAAGTATGAGACATACATTAAATTTGTTCTATGAGGTTCAGAGGAAAAAGAGAAACGAAAAGAGGCTTTTAGCAACCTTTGTAACAAGCATTCATTTTCAGATTAAAGGCTCTCTTTTAACGTTAACGAAAGACTCTGTTAACGTTGACAATGACGTTTTGAAGGCAACCTGGTTGGATGACAACGATCGTAATTTTGTCAAAAGCTGCTGGTATTCTGTATATGAGTAGTTCACAACTTAAGCATAGTTAGTGAACTGAGCCGAACGGCGACAAGATATTGCCATAAAATATGAAGTGAAATATGAACACAACATGAGTCTTGCAGTTTGTAACATCAATTCGAAGCGTCGAATTGTCGTTTCTTGTTCAAAACATTGGACAGTTAAACGGCTCTTCGCTCGACTCTGATGATAACTGATGCTCACGTTATAGAGAGTGATGAAAGTTGCTTTCATATTTTCTCAAAGTAGACGACATTAGAATTTTCCTGAATTCTTACCTTGTTTTTCATAAATTGAGTCACTCATCGAGTCTTGGAATATTGGGTTGCGTCTAATTTTACGTGAACGATTTTTATTACATTCAATGTCCCTGCGGAGTGAAGTTAACACCAAATGTCTGTATACACTTATATTGTGGCTAAAGTTATACTTTCCCCGGGTATAAAGATAACAGAAAGTAAGAATGGACAAGAAGTATAATGTTCAACCTTGCTTAATCTAGGATATATTCTCCTTCTAGGAACCTGAAATACAACCAAATAAAGGAACTACCACCTGAAGTCTTCCAAAACAACACCGAGTTGGCCGTTCTGTAAGTGACCAATGTTTATGCTTGTGTTAATATTGATGTTCGATGTATTAAGAATTGCCGAATGTCTCATGCTCGGTGGGTGTAGTCAATCACGTAAGTAATCAGTCAATGTGAAACGTTTTATCATTTTGCTCTCTGAGAGCGAAAACTTCTTCAAATTAAGAGGCCGTCGTCATCTACAAGGAAGCATTTAAAAAATGCCCACTTAAAATCCATGACTTATCCTTTTGCAGGATCTTAAGAGGAAACCAGATAGAGGGGCTACAAGTGGGAGTCTTCAGTAACAACAAGAAGTTGACCCACTTGTAAGAAGGCAGTTCATAAAATTATGGTCGATTTTTGTATCTTTACTGTCATTATCTTTATCGTTCTCGTAATTAATTCTAAAATACTCAAATATTGTTGAACGACAACAATGAGTATTGCCGTCGGGGTCTATTACGAAGTTGCGTGATGATTTAGCTTTTGAGTTATTCAAGCTACATTCGGTGCGAGTGAGGAACATTACTTCTAAGTTCACCATCGCGAGAACCAAAACAGATATTTGTTAGCGACTGCTTAGGAAGACTCTATCAAGCTCATATCACAACTCTCCAATAGACACTTACTATTGTTACAAGTGTCCTCTATTCCCTCCGACTTAGTCCGTTATTGAAATTTGAGCGAACTTTGTTTCAACTTACTGGCTGTGGTGAGCAAGTAGGTGAGGGTAAGATGATCGAAAATCCGGTAAAGAACAAGATGGAGTAAAATATCATATAGGTTATGTTTATCCTGGCTCGCCATCGTGATGTGCCCAGAATCCAGTTATTTGCTGAATGCTTGCGAAAAGGTCTTCACTCTTCACTCAAACAAACCTTCCCCTCCACAGGTTTCTCTCCCTTACCCCTACTAGCCAAGTAATGAGTGGTCCTGAAATGTTGTATTAAACTATTCAAAAGTCTGCGAAGAGTTTCACCGGAATAATGGGAAGTAGAATAAGCTAACTGGAGCTCTGTTTTAAGGCTTTTAGTGCTCCGAACTGAGAGGCTCGCGCATCAGCTATTGTGGTAGGAACCTCATCAAAGGACTTATTGAAATTATTCAAGTGTATAGTGATGGTGGTGTCAACAACTGAGTCTTACATCTTACATTTTTCAATGCCACACAAAATCTAAATGTGTAAAATATAAAAAATTAGTCAAGAGCAACGCAAAACGTTAAACTCACCAGCCTATATATATTTATTTGACCCTGACACGGTACAAGTAAACTTTTTTTCGACCGAAAAATGTGCACAATAGAAGCAACACACAAGAGGTGATATAATTTTAACAAAAATCATGGAATATCTTTTCTTAGGGACTTGGATAACAACCGGATAAATGAGCTACCACCTGGAGTCTTCAATAATAACACTGAGTTGATCGAACTGTAAGTAACAGATATCCACGTCCATTTTTCATATTATGTCAGTGTTTACTTAATATGATCAAGACGCTCCTCAAGCGTGGATGTAGTCAACCATAAAGGGAATGAAAGAGGGTAAGACGGTTTGTATTTGGACAGTTTAATCAATGATCATTTCCTAGCATATGTCAGTGGTCGTATGTTTTATCAGTTTGCATGAACGTGACCAGTATGTCGAGGTAGGCACTTGAGAAAGTACCATACCATAAAGTGTTGGTGTATATCAATTTGTACAATCACTCTCAAGATTACAGTAAAAGCGTTTGTTTGACCCAGACACGGCGAAAACAAACTGTATTACGACCGAAAAAAGTACTCAACAGCAGCAACACACAAGAAGTAGTATAATATTAACTAAAGTCAAGGAAATACCTTTCTCAGGGCCTTGGGTTACAACCAGATAAAGGAGCTACCACCTGGAATCTTCAATTATAACACTAAGTTGGTCACACTGTAAGTAACAGATATCCACGCCAATTATTGATATTATGAGTGTAATGTCAGTTTTTACTTAATATGATTAATATGCTCCTCAAGCTTAATGGGTGAAGTCAACCATGAAGAGAATGACATAGGGTAGGACGGTTTGTATTTGGACAGTTTAATCACTCATAATTTCCTAGCATATGTCGGTGGCCTTCGTTTCGTAAATCCTATTTTCTATTCCCTTTCTAACGATGTTTTATCAGCTTATATGGGCGAGGCCAGTATGTAGAGGAAGGCACTTGCAAGTGTTTCCTTTCAGAAGAACGGGCCTCACACTCTGTATCTCTCTTAACACCGGTACTACGGTGGAACGCGAATAGGATTTATGCATTTTCACGTATTGGTGATGCAAAGTTTCCGAAACTTACAGGTGGTTAAACGGCAACAAGTTGAAGAATTTGCCAGGCGACTTATTTTCCCAATTAGTCAAGCTGCAGTGGCTTTAAGTGCCATTTCCTCAAATATAAACTATTTCAAGTGTCACAAGACTCACTTACAATCAATCGCTGATAGGACTGATCGTCCTCTCCAGTAGATGATGAATATAAAAATTCACGGGTGGCTGCTTCATGTTTAATCTGCTGTGATGATTTTGTTTTTTTTTTAACACTGACTAAATCTGGAAAAATGGGTTAAACTAACTCAAAATAGACATCAATAACTCAAAATATACATCAGGTACATGTATTGTAACCAAATCAAATAGCTGCCATCAGGAGTCTTCGCCATGAATACCAAGTTGACTTGCCTGTAAATAATCTATAACAGGTTTATCTTCGAAATTATTCAAACTATATTACTTCAATGTATTGTATTTATTACAACACTTGTTTGTAAGCAGCGCAAAAAACTGGATGCTCAAAGAGACGCAATTAACGTAACGTTAGAGAGCACAAAACTCAGCCATTCGTACAGAAGGTTAAAAAACACTATTAATTGTTTCAACCTGGAAATCTGAGTCTTAATAGGCAAGAATAGACTTCACTTCGGACTATGACCCCATAAATGGCAGTTAGAACACTCAGAATCCTTGTATTTGCATTTTTCTGGGGTGTGGTTGTTTAACCAACGGCGAAAACAGCGTTTCCTTCGGTGACGTCGACCCACTGAGTGACCGTGTGACCACACGTTGTCACGCTTAACCTGATTTACGCCCGACGAAGAACTTTCACCGTGAGGATTTCCTCCAAAGTGTCGTACATCCTTCTGGGTTATTTTTTGGGCGATTGCAGCGTCCACTGCTTCTTGAAAAGTGAAGTTAGCCGATTATAATTTCCGCTTAATCTGCTCCGCGCGAAGCCCGCAGATGAAACGATCGCGTGGAATATCATTTAATTGCAATTGGTGAATCCACATTTTCCCGCGAGACGTTTTAACTCTCTCACATTCCACGATGCTTTGCCTCGGTTTCTGGTTTGCGGAAAATCGGTATCTCTCTGCGACTTACAAGCGCATGGGCTCGTAATGACCACGCAACAGCGTTGCAAGCTGGTAAAAAGTCTTCGTATTCGGCGTGTCCGGGAATGACAAATCCTTTAAGACTCCATAAGCACCACTTCCAATAGCTGTTAAGAGTATTGCCCTTCGATTAGCGGGACTGTCCATGTCGTTCTTAATATTTTAGGCGGTGAAATGTTCTTGCAGTCGTTCGAGATAGCTCTCGATATCTTCAGACTCAACACTGAAGACAACAAAACGATTTCTTCCCGCCAAGTGGTTTGTGTTAGGTTGGGCTGATGTCGTTGATTCAAAACCGGATTTTCACGTAATGCTCCGTTCGTCGACGTCGGCTATGCGTTCTCCAGTTTCGTCGCCACTGTAGCGTATAGCGTCGGATTAAGTCTTAAAGACGCGAAGGAAACTAGACAGAGGTTTGTTTTCCCACGATTTATCGGCTCGAAGGTGATATATGAAGACGAGGCTGACAAGCGACAGCGTGAATACTTACGTCATACACCACACACCTATACTACGGCGAGAGTTTAAATAAGGGAATTGAAAACGAACTATTTCAGCTCATATTATCACTCAAATCAATAATAGTATCAAGAATCGTATTTGCAATGTTATTTAATCTTCAGTTGTAACACTTTTCGGAAAAAAAAAAGCACCTCTAATCTTCAAAGCACGGTTTTGAATTTTAAAAAAGAATTGCGGGCTAAGATAGAGAATTAGAGAAATATCACTACAAGGATAAAGCTTTAAGATGAACCCCATCAAAAGAGTTATTGTAACTATTCAAGTGCAAAGTAATGGTGGTTTCAACAACTGAGTCTTAAGTCTTACATTTTTCGATGCCATAAAAACCTAAATGTGAAAACTACAAAAAACTAATCAAGAACAACACAAGACGTTAAACTCACCCACCTATATTTATTCGTAGTGACTTAAGTGGCAATAAGACAGTGGGGCTACCATCCGGAGTCTTCAATGATAACAACAAGTTGACCGAATTGTAATTAACCGATTTCTGAATAGATGTCTCATTCCATTGTTAAAAATCCCATTCCATCCAAATGAAAGCTACGCAAACAAATAACCCAATCATGCATATAAAACACCGACGTTCATAGTGATAGGATCCAAATCCAAACATATTTAACAAATCTCGGTTCAAAATTTTACACAGCATTAGACAGAACTTATTTACCGGCAAAATCACGTGTTCGTCTAAACTCAGCAACACTGATAAAAATCTCTACAGACTGTCACGTTTTCGACTGCGATTGGAGGGCAATCGAGGGGAAGCTGTTTCAACCAAAGTGCCACGCTTGGACAGTTGCATCAGATTTATTGAAATCACATCCAATCCCATGGCACATGGTGGACAAACTGAAACGTTCAAATTTGAGTTCCAAACAAACATAATGACCAAACAGAAGGAGATGGAAACCAAAAGAGTACCGAAAATAACCGTGACTTACGTTGTCCAACTCCTGCGAGGCTAAATCCACGAGTTATCTTTGTTTACAAAATTCTCAGGTTAAATCATTCTCTCCACGTCTTTCTGCTGTCTACGATGATGTGCAAAATTAGCACCTGGATTCTTTAACTACGATCAAACATTAACTTTAAAGAAAACGTTCAAACGTGACTTGCATGATTTGTGTGACACAGACGACTGACTGACCACAAGCGAGCTGCAAAAATCAAAACAGTTCCACCAATGTCGTAACGATCACATTGCTAAACTTTATCCTCTTACATATCATAATTTAAATGGGCCTCTGTTTCAGGTCCTTTCTAGAATATCTGCTATTTTCAACACAAGTTCATTCTGATTGGCTTACTAGTTTCGGACAAACCTCGGTTAAATTCAAGGTGTATTCCTTTTTGTAGGTACTTACAGAATAATCAGATTGAAGAGCTG